TTAACTGATATTTACACATACACTTATATTTATGCATTTAGCAGAAGCTTTTATCCAAAGTTACTTACAATAGCGGCACATAAGATTTCAGATGCAAAAATCTCTGTCCCTCTGATATATATATATATATACAGTATGTATATGTATGTATATGTATATGTGTGCGTGTGTGTGTGTGTGTATTGGGTCATATATATTACTAAACAAATTTAAGTGACATAATTCAGGAAGAAGTGTTTCAAGTAGTTAAACTACAAAATCTGAAGCTTTTATGCATTATAAAACAGAAAAGGTGAAAAAAGTATTTGTCTTAATAAAGAAAAAAAATTGTTTGATGAAAGTGAGGTTGTTCTATACTTATTTTACAATATATTTAGAAAAAGGCTTGGATTAATTAGATCAATAGCTTTTCTAACTCAAAAAGTACATTAATGAGGGAAATTATAGACTGCATTGAAATTAATGTAAATCTGAGGCAAAGTTTCTTACAATGCAGGATTTTTTGAGCACTTTTAGGTACTTTGTTGCAGTTTTCTATTATTGCATAAACGGTTGTCTGAGAGCTTTCATCCCAGTCATCCGAAAGATGAAAGAAATCCTTGCCTGGCCCCAGACATTTCCCTCTCAAGATTAGAACACCAGCCAAGACAATGGCACTCTTATTACATGAATAATTATTTAAAATGAATAGCCTTTGATCAAACATGTGCCTCCAGAGAAAACATGCTTAATAAAATATTCAAACGATCACTTATCGAATGTGAAATATGCACCTCAGACATTATATTGAGTTTATGCGTCATGGTTTTTGTATTGTTGCAGGTAAATACCTGTTGAAATCAAAACTGTAGTTTGTGACGTTCAGTAGCCAATAGGCAGAGCTGGGTAGATTACTTACAAATTGTAATCTGTTACTGATTCCAATTACATCCATTACATTACACATTTTAGGTAATATAACTACTTTCTGATTACTTTTGCATTAAATTTTACCTATCACATTTATCACATTCATCTTGTACCATATTGCTATAAAAATACAAAGAGAAAATATATTCCATTCATTGTTGTGATTTTTGTAAATCCAGTGGTCAAATGCTATGTTTCCTCTCAGTTATCTGTGTAATTATAGTCACTAGTGACTGGTCTTTATGCTAATGTCCACAAAACTGGAAGACTTTCTGAATGTACACAAGTGGTGGGATATTTTAAAATAATAATTTATTGCTATTGTGTGAATAATATGTAATCATGTAATCAATAAAAAAGTAACTGTTGTCTGATTACGAGTATTTTAAATGTAATATAATCTAATTACAAGTAATTTTTGGAATCTGATAACATAATCCAGATTACATGTAATCAGTTACTTCCCAGCTCTGCCAACAGGGCTGTGATGTAAACCAAAACTATTCAAGTTGCTGTTTCCGCACATTATTATTAGTAGTAGTACAGTCTTCAGTACTTCAGCTATAAATATGCATGTTTAGTGTTTATATTTTGTCAGCTGTGTGATGGAGAGCCAAACCATGACAGCAAATTTAATTAAATGTCGATGTATTGTCCAGCAGAAAGCAGACAACAGAACTGAACACGTTGCGTGCTTCAGTCCACATCATCATAAAACACAATGATGTTGTGAACATGACACTGCATTAAAACTACAGCAAACTAGCCGACATATAGTAATTAACATAAATTGATAAATAACAATTATTCCAGTTTGCAAAATGAAAAAAAAAAAAACGTGAAGAGTCTTCTCTGTGATATTCTGATCTCTAGATTTTATTCTGGTCTGCTGGGCCAGAAAATCATAAATCCACTCACTTAGAAAAGTAACAGCATGATTTTAGGTATAAATCATTTCCATGGTGCAAATGCATGGATGCATGAAGTTTAATAACTTGGGTGTTGAGTTTGTGCGTGCAACTTACTTTCGGACAGTCAGTCACAAAACCTCCTATAGTGTAGTAACCTACATTGCTAAATCGCTGCTTTTGTCTCCAGTTTTAGGGCTTAAAACAGGTGCATGGATGGAATTAGGACAGACGTTTTTTCACTAACTGGATATCCATATTAAATACATCAACGTTCCCCAAATTGGAATTGGTTGGCTTTTTACGACCGAAAAGAGTCTGTAAATGCTGCAGTGATTTTTTCCGGCGGTTCTGTGTTTATTTAATCAACACTGACAGATGAAACGCAAGAAAGATGCTATACAATCATAAATGCAGATGCTAATTAACATAATTCAGCTGAGATTAAGGGTTCATTGATTTATTGAGAGGGATGCGGCTTTTGTTTTCTGACTCATTAATTTATTAAATGATACATTGTTTGCCTTTTCAGTTCACGTTTAATTCCTCATTCATATCTGCGCTGCACCTTGCGGCGAAGCTTTGTGAACGTCTCATTTATTTGTAATCCTTTCTGCATTTCTCTTCTCAATCACATATTGTTAGTGAATGAAGACATTAGGATGGCAGATATATCACTTAATAACCAGTCTCGAATGCTCATGAATAATGCAGTCGTTTGACTTCACCAAGCTCCGCCTTAAAATGCTATTGACCAATCCTGGCTTAGCAGCTGTTGCTGTGTGTGTAATTATTTAAGAAGTTTATGCTCTTTCTACTGGATTTTTCACAGAAGGAATAATATCCAGTGAGTTTATTATACTATTGACTGGATATTAAGCACATTTTAGCAAAAATGAAATCATTCAGTTCAATCTAATGCAAGCAGCAATAACCAAGAGGGGCGGAGCTTAGCAAAGGGTCAATTCTAATAGAAATTGATGTGAGATTATGTTGTCAAGCGTTGTTCTCATGATGCAGTAGTTGAAATGCTACAGAAAGGACAAGTCTCTCATTAAAATTAAGATGTTGTTTGTAATATGTTCCCTCGCTGCATAGCGTTGCCAGGTTGGGTTTGTTAATATCCTCCTCGTGTTGTTGTGTGATCCGCTGAGGAAAGTTGACTTCTGCTGTACAAGAAGCGGCTCAGTTGTTTACTGAAGAGTCAATTTGAGGTTAATGGATTTTCCTTTTCCTGTTTGAAACAATTTAGTTTTCTAATAAGTAATTTTCTTGGAAACTGTGAATCTTGACACCTGCGCAGGCTTTGCATATTTGAAATAAACTGTATTAATTGTCATAATTTCTCATGAAAAGTGATGTTGTGGCATATGTTAACAAAGCTCCCCTTTAACATTATATTTTTATCCTGAGATTCAGAGGTTAATTTAGTTTACTTTCCTCATATTTGCATTGTGAGGTTAAAGTCAAGAAATGTTGTTTGCAAATCATTTTATTTCCACAATGTATCTTTCTTTTTTTAGTGCTTTTGAAAGACATCTCTTATGCTTGCCAAGGATGCATTTATTTGATAAAAAATACAATAAAAACAGCAATATTGTGAAATATTACCACAATTTAAAATAACTGTTTTCTATGTGATTAGATGTTAAAATGTAATTTATTCCTGTGATGCGCAGCTGAATTTTCAGCATCATTACTCCAGTCTTCAGTGTCACATGATCTTCAGAAATCATTCTAAGATGCTGATTTGCTGCTCAAGAAACATTTCTGATTATTATCCATGCTTAAAACAGTCGTGCTGCTTCATATATGTGTGAAAACCATAGTAAATTTTGTTTTTTTGCATTTTAATGCATTTTTTTTTCAAGTAGATGGATTCAAAAGAACAGCGTTTATTTGAAATTTGAAATCGTATGTACTAGGGATGCACCGATTTTTTCAGAACTAGTCCGATACGATACTTTCATTTTTGGTACTTGCCGATACCGATAACTGTATTTTCACAGCATTTGTAATTTTTTTTAAATATTGGGTACAGAAACAAAATAATAGTAATAATAATAATATGAATCATGTTAGTTGGCTTCATTTAGCGAACAGATATTACCTTCAGTTATTTCCACACTTAATTATACCTGTTAAAATGTATTGTATAAGCTTTTGTTACTTTCACTGTTCATTTTAATGGCGCATTAGAGCTGCTCTATTGCAGCAGCTCAATACTGTAATCATAAAACGTTTTCCTAAAATAATGCAGGGAACCACTCGTTATACATTATACGAGTGCGCGCGTACTATTTTGGTGACGTAATTTGCGTCACGCGCAGTGTACACGGACCCTCGCGTACGAGTAAAAACTGAAGTATACTTTGGCCTTAAAGCAAGCTAAACATACGCAGCGCGCACACGTTTGCATTGGTGCAGAATGAGAGAGACACTTACAGCCTAGAGCATTTCACCCAGTCTGCTAGTTTCACTTCTGCTTTAAATAAAGTCGTGTATGCTTGACATTTAAAATAAATGCAGTTTATAGTGAGTGCCCCTATAATTTTTGTTTGTTTTATATTTACGATTTTGTTTTAATCCAAATGCATGCGCTAGTGGAGCGAACAGCAATCAAGATCATGCAACAGAAGTGTGCGTGCTCGGACACTCTCTCTCTCTCTCTCTCTCGCTCTCCTTACCGTCAAATAACTTTAGTAACTTGTGCATTGTTTTACTTACTTGCTTTTGACATATCCGAACGGACTACAAACTTTCCAGTGATGTCTGTGAGATATTCACTCGACAAGCTCACGCATCTGTGCAGCCACGTGCTCAATCCACTCAGCACGCTCTGCTTATCAGCTCGGGCACATCCGCTATACAGGCGTGAATTGTTGTTTGTTGTTCTGTTTTCAGTGTTTCTTTTTCTGGACACAGCTCTATTCACACGCTGTTTGGTATCGGGCCATTTTTACGAGTACGAGTACAAGTACAGGAGCGCAGTATCGGGCCCGATACCGATACCAGTATCGGTATCGGTGCATCCCTAGTATGTAACATTATAATTGTCTTTACTGTCACTTTTAATTCTCTTTTTGGTCTTTTTCATTTCAAAAGATCAAGGAAGATTAGATTCTTCATAGCATGATGTCTATTCTAATCTCTAGTCTTGTTTGTCTCTCGTTGTTCCTTTAGTCCTGGTGCTGCTGATCTTGACCCTCAAGCGTCACAGGAAGGGCCAGCTCATGTCTGAAGACGAGGAGGACATGCGCGACAACGTCATCAAATACAACGATGAGGGTGGCGGCGAGCAGGACACCCAGGCATATGACATGAGTGCCCTGCGCAGCCTCTACGACTTCCCCGAGGTCAAAAACTCAGATTCGGGCCCTGACCTGCGCCCGGTCCCGCAGTGGATCCAGAACAGAGTTGTTGGAGATGGTGGCCCGGCCGACTTCTCAGTTTTCAAAGGCTACATACGCAAGAAGGTGGAGCAGGCGGACGCGGACCTGTCGGTGCCGCCATACGACTCGTTCCAGACTTACGCTTTCGAGGGCAGCAGCTCGCCGGCTCTCTCGCTAAGCTCCATCCATACGCTGTCTACCACCTCGGAGCAGGACTTCTCGTACCTCAGCGACTGGGGGCCGCGCTTCAGGCAGCTGGCGGGATACTACGCCCCGGCCCAACCTGAGGAAGAAGGGTCCTAGCACAATCCTGTGAACAGCATCCCGTCATTTTTTTCTCCCTGCAGTTCCCAGTTTGGATCCCAGTCAGTCTGGGGAGTTTTAATGTCACCCGTTACACTTTGTAAAGTGACTTCTCATCTTGTAGAAAAGTTCAGGACAAATATTGAAGGAGAAAAACAACTAGGCCGGGTGCTGGGCAAACCTCCAACATCTTCTCACCTGTCAGCGAGAGTAAGAGGAACGGGGCCGTGCCATATAAACCACGAAAAACACTCATTCTTTGCTCTTTTTTTGGTGATTTCTTTGCCCATCTGTGGAGATAAATGACTTTAAGTCACCAGGATCCAGACAGATTCAATGGAAAGACTTTTTAATCACCAACAATTAAAAAGAACCTTAAATAAATATGTATTTATTTAAAGAAAAACTACAAAAAAAAAAAAAGTAAAACAATATTTATGTATTTATTGCTTTCTATTTATTTATTTATTCATCCTGGCAATGGACTGAAATACAAAAATTGACAATTTTCTGATTAATTCGTCAGGGTGACAGACAAGGACTGAATATCCTGTGAGTAAAAAACAAAAACTAAAAAAAAAAAATTGTTGGGGTGGGATCGCTGAGAGGAGTTTGCAAACTATCAGTGACAGTAAATCAGTCTTGAAAATCTTTGTATTTATTTTTTAGAAACTCTTTTTGTAAAATACGAATTGTTTCTGCTGGAGAAAAGTAACGGCTGTTGGGGCGAATCTCACAAAAACGTCAAAATCGCGGTTCACCCCCAAATCAAGAGAATAAAATAAGAAATGACATTTTGCATAAAGAAGATGAAGTCTTGAAGATGTTTATGGCGATTAAGCGTTTTCCCTCCAAAATTATTGTAATGCATCTAGATGTTTCACTTTTATGTATTTTTCACTATTCTCAGTAAGATTATCTGGACTGTAATATAGTTAAATTACTGTAGTTTTTATTGCAGTAATAAAAATTTGGGGAAAATGTGCTTAATTGTCATAAAAAAGTATGTTACCGTATAAATAGGCTGCATTTACTTTCAGCAAAGTATAATTGAATATTTATTTCTTTAGATTTTGGAGTGAAATATGACTCTTTGACAGGTTTTGTGAGCATTGGTTTTGTCTTGTCATACCTTTTGTGTGTTGTGTTGCTTTTCAACTAATTATCCAGATAATTTTTTGTGGATGTTGCGTTTGGCATTGAATCGGTTTTCAAGGGGAGTTTTGAAAGACAGGACAACATGGCACAATACACGACAAGAAACAAACGAGACCATCTGACAGGTTCTTTATCCATTCTTTTTTAGATATCCCAAGATATACATGTTCACCGATGATTTGTACGTGTACCGAGACGTTTCCAGATTGCTTTGGGTGATTTGATTGGTTTTTGATCATTCTGTGTTGGGTTGAGGATGATGAACTAGAGATGGGGTGCAGTGGTTGTGTTTTTCCCTGAACCAGCACCCTTAAATGTCCACCCAAAAATGCAGATGTATGGCTAAAATACAATTGAATTAATCAATAAATATTTACAGTTTTTCAAAGGTTTTCTGGGGTGACTTTGTGGGCCACAAAAGATTGCATACTGGACGATAAATCGCACTAAGAATATGTCCAGGTCACATTTTAGCCCAAAATCAAAAGAAAGGGAAAAATAAATAATGAAAGACAGTGATTGTTTTTTGTTTGTTTGTTTGTTTTTTAGAACCTTTTTTTTTCATTTTGACCTTATTTTAATAACAGTTAAACATATTTTGGTTCCAAATTTTCATTCTCATCTCTGTTAAGCATCCTTATTTATTATTTGATTTATCCTTATTTGTTTGTTTTGTAATTCTCATTGTTCTCCGTGGTGATTATCATTACTATAATACCTTTATAAAATTATATAATAAATGTATTTTTTTAATTCAAATTTGCATAAATTAATGGTAACACAATAAATATATCTGTAATTTATAAATAACAATTTAAATATTATAAACATCTTTTTGGCCTTTACAATAATAAGAATTTTGTGTAAAAATTCTCGTTTGGATTAATGCAAAAATGAAAATTTGCTGAAAATGTCCTCACCCTCAGTTCATTCAAGATGTAAATGAGTTTGTTTCTTCATCAGATTTGGAGAAATGTTGCAT